GTTAAACAGGACTGGCCCCAAAACAGCCCTGAGGAACCACCTGGAATGCACCAAAACACGCGGGTGAGGCCTTCAGTTCAGTCAGAGGCGCCCACCATTGCGTGGCGCAGCCGTGCTTACCAATTTTGGAAGGGAAGGGCGTTTCGTCGTCCAGCTGGTACCGCACCCACGTCATCAAGTAATCGATGTACTTGGGAGCCGAGCACTTGATTGGTTTCTTTATGTTGGTGCCGTCTGCCCAGTGGTACTCATACCTGCGGGACAGGAAAGGACAATTAATTTTTTTATTCCAAGGTAAAAATGGCATTTTTGGGCCCTGTGGCTTCCTCCTCATCTCAGTCAGGAGACGCTGCAGCACTTGGGATCCTCAGAAGTGACGAGAGCAGCACTGGGCCTTTTTGAGCTTCTTGAGCACAACACAGCAGAGTTAACACCTCCATCCCGACCACTACAGCCCCAAAAGTGAACTTGGATTTTGTGGAAACCTGCTCCGACGTCAGTATTTCCTTAAAATGAGACAAAAACCAGCCAAAGGGGAAGTATCAGAGTCATCGCACACTACCTACGTTAATTCACCTACGGCTTTTGGATACCCACCAGGAATTTGGCAATCCCTCTACCCGCACAGGAGATGGGCGCCTTCCCCAAGAGACCACCCCTGGGGCCACGTGGTAACCAAAGGCTTTTGGAAGCCACCAGCTCAACTCAACGCTGCTCCGAACCAGGGCAAACATCAGCTAACACCACACACCACCACAAGCTGCCTTCTCTGAGATCTTTCACAAAATCCTTCAAAAGCAGGGGTAAAACCCCCGTGTTTCGATTGTTGCCTCTCGACTGACGACCAGCGAAAACAAACGGTGCCATTTAAACAGGAAGTTGCTACAGGAAACGGCCCCAAATATAGAAACAGGAACTTGCAATCTAGATACTTTTGGGGAAAAAAACGGGGCAGGATGTTACACAGCACCCACACGCACCGCCTGCTGCCAGACTCCCCGAAAACCAGAGACTCGAGCACCCTCATGAACTGGACGCCCTGCTGTCGCCTCACCTCAATAAAACACACAAGCACAGCACCAATGTGTTATTTTTTTCTCCCCACGAGTATTCACACCCCCAAAAAAGCAACAAGGCGCCCAAAATACGCCTTTGCTATTTCCTTTCCATCTTCCACAACGGCCCAACCTTCTTCTACAAAGCACGAGCCAGTGCAAGTCGGCAGCAGCCCCTAAAACCGCCCTGGGACAACACACGTCACACCTGACCACGAAACCAGACACTGTTAGGTCTCTCACAAGCCAGGTCTCTCATTTTCCTTAAAGCAAACCATTTCACCAACGCAATTTTTCAGCTCCCAAACAACACGTGGACCCAACTGACAGGGGGAAAAGAGATCCCCTCGCATGGTTTCCCTGGACAAACATTCAAACTGTTGGCTACCGACCCTGCACAGCCTCCCTGACAGCTGGTGAAGATAAATGATGCCAGGGGAGCTCAATGCTGTGGCTCAACACCATCTGGACATGGCCCAGCCTCTTTTTTAGCTTCTTTCTATGCACCCACCTACTTCCCTACATTTAAATTGTGGCTGTAGAGCACAGTGAAGTTCTTACCTTGGTCCCGCAGACATGACCGGGCAGCTCGCCTCCGTGCAGAACTCTGTGATGGTCCCGTACAACATGTTGATTTGGTTGAAGAAATCCACCGCTGGAAAGGAAACGCAGCAAATTCACTCAAAAGCGTAAACCCAAAGTGAAGCAGAGCAGCAGGTCACCCTCATTCAGCTAACGAAGGCTCCCAGGATCACTGTGATGGGGCTGAATGTGTCGCAAAGCTCTCGGCAAAAACCAAACATCCCCTTCTGAGACATGCCAACCATCCAGGAATTTGAATGGTTCTCTCAATTTTTCCACCATCTGGCTACTGCCCCTAACCAAGCTGTACAGCACGAAGCTCCACGTAGCCTTCTGTACCTTAGATGTGACTGATTTAGCCTCCAGGCACCGTTAAAAAATGACAGTGCCTCAAAAACCCCACTGATTTTGGTAATACAGGAGACCTTCCTTAGGCTGAGCGCTTGTGGCCCAACTTACTGTTTTCCACTGCTCAAAACTACTTTTTCCTCCTTGAACCACCAAAGAAACAAAGTTCAAGACCAGTGTCATGGTTTAGGGCTGGGCTGGCCACAAACCCCGGCCCAGACACTCTATATTAACCCCTCTCTCCTCCCTAGAAGTGAAAAGAGAATAAGGGAGAGAGACTTTACGGGTTGGAGAATAAAGGTTGAAATGTAAAAATCACTAAGTAGAAAATTAGTTCTATTTAGCTCAAACCAGGACAGCCAGGAAGGGCAACTGGTAAAAGCAAAAATTTGTAGTATTTGGCTCTGTGAACCATGCACACAGCAATAATAAAATGAGAACAGGAAACAAAAAAGAAACTCCATGGATTTAAGAGTTCAGGGGACAACACGGTTCTTCTGCTTTTTCCCAGCACCAGTTTTGCAGCTGACGACTGTAACTTCATAATTCCAAATATCGGTACTCGAGGCTGACTCCCGAGTTCAAAAATAACCATTCCCAAACCTAATTAGCGTTGCAAGTCTGAACTCAAAAACCCCACCCCAAAACCACAACGGTCTGGGTTCATTTCCCAGTTTTTGCTCATTTCTAGAGCACATCGCCCCTTTGACGCAGGACCTGACCGCTGTCAGCACAGCACACGCTGCTGAGCTGTGACTAACGATGATGTGCATCATTAAGGACAAAAACCAGCGATTTGGGGTTTCCCACCTCCTCTCTCACAGGACTTACTGTTAACGGCGATCCACTCGTTGAGGTCCTCTCCCTCCGGCAGCATCACCGCTTGTCGGAGGTTGCCGCTCCCCAGCGTCGCTTCCGCATGTTTCAGGAGCTCGTACTGGTGGGAGCCTTCGGGAATGTTCTTCTTGGGTTTGAACGTTTTCGAAGATCGACTCCCACTGACAAGAGAGAAAAAGTTTGGAATTAGCCCTTTAACAGCGTTCCCTTCCCAAAAATGTTTCCTTGCCACTCAGCACTTTTAACTGGGATTAAGCCAATGTTTTCCCCGCCTTCGGGGCAAACGGGTCCTATGTGCAGGCCGAAGCGTTTCTGATGTTGTCACCAAAACACCGCATGCGCGCTTCCCTCTTTCACCCACCAAAAAAACCACCAAAATCACAAGAAACATTCAGTGCCAAGGCCCAAAAACTCATCAAGTTACAGTTACTTTCAACTGTGGAAAGAAAAGCTGACATAACACTGCCGGGGAGCGAAACGACCTGCGGATGGGTCAGCTTGACAGCGGCAAGTACGAGCTGCTGTAGGAAACGGCTCGCTAAAAATAGTGACTTTAATTGACTCCTGAAATGCAAATCACCACTGTAACCTTCCCTCGCTGCGCCGTACGACAGCTGTGCTCAGCGGCTGAGCCGTCGCACAACTCCTCACCAACTCCCCCTCGTCCCCTCCCAGTAGTGCAGCCTCTCCCCCAAAACTGCCACTGCTGCCAAAAATTGGATTAGTTTTGATACTTCTCAACCGCAAAACCATAACTTTCTGACCCTGCCAGCTCTCTGCTTCTGAGTGAGGGGGATGCAAACGGCAGGGACGGCCGGAGCCAAAAGCACGGCTCATGGGGGAGGAAATGGGCTTCTCCGGCATCGCCAGCGTCCTGCCTCCCTCGCACACAACCTCACAGCAGCTTCCTGGCACAACCGTACGGCTCTGCACGCTCGGAGCGGAAATAAAAGACCCTTAGGTCCAGCTTGCTCTTAAACCAAGCTGCTACCTCCAGCTGCGGCCATACCATGGACCCAGCGCATCACGGGGCATAGGCAGAGGAGCCCAAAGGGCAGACCCAGTGCATCAGCAACCCTAGGACAGAGCTCCCCAGCCCCTTCTGGCACCAAAAATGCCTCCAGTCCTCACCCACAGCACCTACAGGGTCCCAGTAGCCAAAAGCCCTCTCACACTTTATAAATCTTTATGTCTACAACGCAGGTAAGCAAGAGTCCCCAACGTAGCTCATCAAAAATGCACTTTTTATACCAAATTAACACCATTGCCCTGCAATCAGGGCTGCCCCACCTCACCTAAGGGCAGTCCCTCACAGGAACAGCACTCAGCACCAAAAGCCCACACTCTTTGCACTGCATCAGCACTCACCCACAGAGCATAGGGCCCACCCAAAGCCCACCCAGGTGAAAGCCCCGCACCCCCAAAAACCTCTTCCCAACCCCCAGGGTCTCCCACTACAGCAGAGCATCCCTGCAGACACTCCTTACCTCCCAGGACCTTCCCCAGTTCCCCTACAAGACCAACCCCTCAAATTCTCCCTGTCTAGGGGGGGATTAACCCTCAAAAGAAAACCTCTCCCCAAAGCCTTCCCTCTAAGACTGTCCCCCAAAAATCTTCCCAGCCCCTCATACACCCCCAAAGCCTCCCCACCATATCTTCCATGGCACCCACCAAACACGGGCACTTCCTGGGGTACCCGGTCCTCCAGGGCCACCCCACTCCACATCCTGGCCCCCTGTCTCACCGCACGGCCGACCACTCCTTCCTCCCAAAAACCACTCCACCTCCAAGGCCTCCTCTGAAAGTCTTCCTCAGCCCCTCCTCGTACATCCCTAGGGACTTCCTTCAAAGCTTCTTTCTCCCCTCCAGAGGTGCCCAGGCCTCTACGAAAGCCCCCCTCATGAGCCCCAAAGCCACTCAGGGTTTCCCCCTAAAACTTCCCCTAAGAGCCCTCCCCCGCCTCAGCACAAGGTCGCCCTCAACCTCCCGAGCACCGCTGGAGCCTCCAACCCCTCAGAGCCTTCCTCGAGGCCCAGGACTTCCCTCACGATACCTTCCTCACGCTCCCAAACACCGCCAGCACCTCCCGCAAGGCCTCCCTCAGCACCCCCACCCCAGGAACCCCCCCAGGGCCTCCCCAAAAGCCTTTCCTCATCCCCCTCAAACCTCAGCCCTCAAGGCCTGC